GGCACTGGTTCCCCAAATTTCCTGATACTCAGAATCAGCCTTGGTGCTTTTAAAATGCAGTGATCCTTGGACCCTACAGCAGGCTACTGAGTCATAGCCTTTGGGAGTGGGGTAAAGGAAATGGATCGTTAAAAAGCACTCCAATAAAAAAATTTTTTAAAGAAGAAAAAAAAAAGTCCCAGATAAGTCTGATGTTTAGCCAGGCTTGGAAACTATTATTCTTGGCTTTGGTCACTGTAAGCTGTGTTCCAAATTCTCAGGTTTGCAGTGTGTATTTTTTCTCTATCAGACTTCACCCTAATGAACTTTCCTTTCTTCCTAGTGGATAAAGCAACATTTATGGTTGGCAGCTACGGGCCCCGGCCAGAGGAGTATGAATTCCTAACTCCCATTGAGGAGGCTCCCAAGGGCATGCTGGCCCGGGGCACATACCACAACAAGTCCTTCTTTACCGACGATGACAAGCATGACCACCTCACCTGGGAGTGGAACCTGTCCATTAAGAAGGAGTGGACGGAATGAGTGCGCCTGCCCGAACCTTTCCCCACCCTTGCCCCCTGGAAAATTCCTCCCAGCCACATTCGTCACCCTGTCCCTCTCCCTGTTCACAGCAGGGCCTCTCCTCCAATGCTCCCCACATTTCCTTAGTGATGCATCTTATCCCGCCTTCTCTCTCCAAGTGGTCCCCAGCACAAGAGGCTTAAAATCCAGGCTTTAACCCTGCCTGCTCCCTCTGATCCTCCATCAGGGGCAGATCTTCCAAGTTCTCCATTACACAGTCATTTCGTGTTTCCCTCTCTAATTCCCATGTGAGCAACTGGAGGCCGGGGAATGGGCAAACTATCACTAACAGCCCTTTTGCCTTCAGTTCCAGACGTTCGTTCCCATCCCTGGATTCTCTGGTGGTTCCTGCTGGCTCGATGAATCCCTAGTCACTTCCCCTGCTGGTTCTGTGGGAGACGCTGTAAACAACACGAAAGACTAACACAATAAAGCAACAACTGTATGTCCTGACTGAGACCCTCATTTCCTTGCTTTCTTCCTTCGAACAAGTATGATAACCAGAGGGTTCCCTTAGAGGGAGTGGGGGTGGGGAGACACGGTAGAGGGGGGGTTGACATCACTGGGATCAGATTGGTCCCCCTGTTGCTGAGCAATGGGCAATGAGCACTCAGAATACAGACAGTGGAAAATCTAAATGTAATTTCTTTTATATAGTATTTTCATGTGGAAGCTTCTCCTAAGCTTGAGACCTATAAATTCCACTGCCTGTGGGAATCTCGTCTTGGATTTCCCACAGGCACTTGTGGGCCAGTCCAACGTTGTCCCTCTCCTGCTTAAGACCATTCAGTGGATTCCCATCACCTACAGAATAAAATCAATGGGCGGTGGCCATCGCCTCAGTGGTGGAGTACAAGGGCCTCTAGGCTGGCTACTACTGCAGCGAATGCAGCTCCCAGCAGGGCAAGATGTCCTGCAACATGTGGCCACATTCCATGACAGTACAGGATTATCAGGATCTTACAGACTGAGGATGGCGAAGAAGTAGGAAATACGTGTACAAACCTGTCGTGACTCAAACATGCTGTCCTCAGTACTCAATAAGGTTCTGACCTTTACAGTTTCAGCCATCAAAATCTCACAAGAAGGTTTTGAAAAAAAAGTTGAAATTTCTGGCTAAAGGGGAAATTTCCAAAGGAAATTGTGAGGATGAGCCCATGGATTCCACAAAGGCTCATGGCATTGCAGGTGACTTTGCATTAATAAATAAATTGGATATACAGTGTGATCTTAAAAAACTCAATGATGACCTCAAAGAGAACTTAGAGAGTGAAGAGAAGAAGAAGGGAAAAAACTCAAAGAGAGAAGAATCTAATGAATTGATTCAGACACAAGATATAGAAGAGAAGCTGGGCTCTGGGAACCTCCATGTTCCATTAAAGTTCTTACAGTTCCTGAGCCCGACAAAGGGGCTGATTTCAGTAAGCCTCCATGTCGAAAGGAAAAGGAAATCCAGAGAGAAAGGAAAAAGTTAAAGCTTTTGCAGCAAAATACAGCTGGAGAACTTGAGGATTTCCATGCTCAAGGTCACTCACGTCTTTGTTCCCACCAAAGGCTAAATTCAACCAGTCCAAATCATTTGAAGGTTTAATTTTTTTTTTTTATTAAAAGATGACCGGTAAGGGGATCTTAACCCTTGACTTGGTGTTGTCAGCACCACACTCACCCAGTGAGCTAACCGGCCATCCCTATATGGGATCCGAACCCGGGGCCTTGGTGTTATCAGCACCGCACTCTCCCGAGTGAGCCACGGGCCAGCCCAGAAGGTTTAATTTTTGAATCTTTACCAGAGAATGCATCCCACAAGTTAGAGGTGAGGGTGGTGAGATCATCTCCACCAAGTTCTCAGTTCAAAGCCACATTTCGGGAGTCTTACCAGATCTGTAAGTAATGCCAGAGGGTTATTCACAAGGACACACTTGATAAACCAGCTGTGAGCCAGTCCACAGGATTCCTTTGCAGTTCACCTTTGGAGGCAGAGAATCCCCCTAATGGTCTAGACTGTGGCTGTGGCTCCTTCCATCAGCAGTACTGGTTTGAAGGAAAGACCATTGCTGTAGGGGTGATTGACATCCTTCCATACTGTGTATCGTCTGTGTATTTGTACTTCAATCCTGATTATTCATGTCTGTCTTTGGGCGTCTACTCTACATTATGAGAAATCGCTTTTACTAGGAGACTTTATGAGAAAATATCTCAACTCAGCTATTAATAAATGAGTGTCTACACCCATTCATGTCCCGAGTTGAAATATAAGGGTCAGTATAGACCTTCTGGTTTGTTGTGTCTTGAGGCACATGTTTGGATATCCACTGAGCAGTGCCTGCCTTCACTTGAAAACCCCCAGTACTGCTGTTTCAACCAGAACACAGAAGCAGTGGACAAAGGTCACCGTAAGGAACCTGAGCGACTGCAGGTGTTTCACAAGAACGTCATCATGCCTTGTGGTGTTTATAGGAAGCACCAGAGAGACCCAAGTAATGAGGCCACTGTGCTGCAGTACTCAAGTCTGGTGGTTACAGTTCCTGAGCCCGACAAAGGGGCTGATTTCAGTAAGCCTCCATGTCGAAAGGAAAAGGAAATCCAGAGAGAAAGGAAAAAGTTAAAGCTTTTGCAGCAAAATACAGCTGGAGAACTTGAGGATTTCCATGCTCAAGGTCACTCACGTCTTTGTTCCCACCAAAGGCTAAATTCAACCAGTCCAAATCATTTGAAGGTTTAATTTTTTTTTTTTATTAAAAGATGACCGGTAAGGGGATCTTAACCCTTGACTTGGTGTTGTC